CTCGAAATACACACAAGATTTTTTTTACAAACGCAGCTTATGGCTGCTCTGGAAGTATCAGTGATTGAAATAGTTATTATCCATTATCCCATCCCAGATAGCACGGGACGTCCCGAAGACGTCCATTTTAGGTCCATTTTTGGTCTGAACGTCCGGGACCTTTTATGGACGTTTTTAAGACGTCCATTATTGGACATACTCCGGACGTCCAGAAAAAGACGTCTTTAAAACGTCCAATTCACAGACTCTCACGGTATATCAGTTTAAATTGATATAAGTAGGTAGGTATATATAAATTTTGAAATTAGAATTATTGAATTGAATATGGACATGAATAATGTCAAAAAATATATTATATATCAGCTGTATCAATATATTGAATTTCATTTTATTATTAATATTATGAATTTGAAATATTTATGATTTTAACTGATTTGTACCAACTTATATAGTTATGTTGAATCATATTCCTTCAAGTTTGACCATTCTCAAACCCACACTGACACTGAAGTATTCATACAAGCCGCGCTTTTATAATAAGATTTGATTGAATCACTGAATATGTAAAGCAACCGTAGAACGCATGCGTGCTCAGCGTTGCAAGACCTACTATTTTAGCAGTAGATCTACTGTTTTTGTCTCTGTTCTACTGTTCAACTATTCAAGGCAATGGTCTGATTGGTCAAGTTTTGATATGACGTAACTACCCAATATGCAACAATGAAAAATTAATGGGACATCACAGTAAGAAGATGTATGATAAAAATATACTGCAACTATCATATTCAGTCTGATTAGTGAAAATTAGCTTACATTTCCAATCTGGTTGCGGTTTTCACAAATTTTATTTTTTATTTCAATATTTTTTGTTATTCTTCGTTCGATTTTTGATAGGTATAGAGACCGAACATGATTTTTTTTTTTCGTTTATTATATAGGTGACTATGTTTTTTCATTTATGATAGCATTGTGATGATTATCAAAATCTTCTGTTCAGTTTTGATGATCTGTTTTTTCCCCACCAATCTGCTGCTCCGACAAATTTTCATCCGGCAACACTGTGCGTGTTACGTGTGAAACTGTGAAACGAAAACGTAGGAAGATGGCGTCCGTCAGTTGACCACTGCCGAGTGCCGATTAAACTGTGATTCAGGTCCAAGGACATTCTGAACTTTTCGGGTTATTAGACTGTAAAAGCAGTGAATAAGTGAAATCTTTGCGGATATCATCTATCAACTGGTGAACTTCGATCTCGAGTTCCATCGAGATGTTTATTTGAAGGCAAGTATGGCTATCGACGCTATCGTTTTATTTTCATTCGCATGAAGATGCTTGAGTAAGAACATCAAATCTGGTAGTTGTAAACATTAGATACCTTTCTAAATAATTTGATCTCATGCAAAGCTCTACCTAATCCTATTTCCATCATCTACCAAAGTTTATATTTTTGTATATAGTTAAAACATACTATAATTCGTGCAAGGTTCATAGAGGTTATATAGGTACCTACCTAAGAATCAGTTTATGTATGGAAAAAGTTCTCAATGAAATAAAAATAATGAAGTATTTCGCTATACTGACTACTACACGTTGAAAGTGGGTGTGTGTTTATGGTATTCACAGAAGATGTTATTGAATATTATTATTATTTACAGATCCAGTGAAGAAGACAACAGAAGGCTGCCAATCAGAAAAAGACATCATCGCGCCTGCGTACCTGGATGAATCACACGACGTTTTTAGTGGTGCAGCTGCTGATATACGATATGGAAGAGTGAAATTGAAACAACTACCTGAATCTCTGTTCATATTATTGTTTGCGAATAAATGTTAACTAATATTCAAGTATTTCACTCTTCAGATGGGTCAGAAAATCAATAATCAATATTGTCTGAATGTCCTCAATACGTCCATTTTTCATCCCAAAAAGGTCCTAGTCTGGACCTAAACTGGACGTCCCCAAAACATCCTGATTATTAACAATGGACGTCCTCAAAACGTCCATAAGACGTCCGTCGTCCGGAAATGGACGTCCCCAAAACGTCCTGAATGTCCAGAGTGGACGTTTTCAAAACGTCCATAAGACGTACTTGTGCTGATTGGGATATGTCTAACGAAAACAAAAAAAAAATAACTGACAGGTCTGATAAAAAATTATCGGGCACCGAGAATTGAGCCAAAATACAATGAACTCTGCAATCAAATTGAACATAACCCATTGATACAATAAAATAAAGATACACTTTTTTTTGATGTTGAAAACGAGTTTGAATATATAAAGTATAATTTACCTTTTACAGATATCCTTCATTATGGGAGCTTCTTGTAGACATTTGTTGGTATATATATATATCTTCAGCGGTGAATGTTTTGGATTTTTCCGCTTCATATATCCAATAGATTGTTTCTTGAGAAATGCGATGAGTTCCGGATTGATTTAGATATTATTTTCATCATTCAAGCATGTAGGTATACGTATCATCGAATATATAGACCAGAGTTGATGACTTCAAGGTTTTCGATTTTTTACCAAAATAAGCCAGTGAAACATTTTCTGAATACTTATACACCTTCTTGGAGTGGCACCAATTTATGAGTGTATCATATTGTAACTCATATTTCTACCTTGATTTCTCCGTTAAAATATTCACTTCTGCACTTTCTGCTGTATCAGGAGGTGTGTTTGATAGTTCACTGTCACTAACTTTCCTCATGAAAGAATTGGGGGTTTTCAACTCGGTTTTCAAGAATAGATTTAGTATTATAGGTTACAGCGATGTGCGAGCGTTTTTTCAATATTTCTGTTTATTAGCGCAAATGCTGTCAAAGAATGACATTTCTGAGAAAACGTCAATTTTGTGTTGGAATATGAAAGCGTCAAAGGCTACTTTGTTAAGCGTTTGTAGAAAAACAAATTTGTGTGTTGTAATTCATAGATGAACACCCAAAGTCATCTCGACAACTTTTATTCAATGATCATAGATCATATAAGGGAACACGTTTCGGGCTTATATGAGCCCATCATCAGCCAAGAAAATATAAAGTTTTAGAAAAGACAGATTTTGACCTATGGTATGATACAATAATATTTTACTTACATGAAAGTGAAAAATGTTGCAATGTGTATAATATAAGCAATAACGGAGCAAGCAAAGGCCATTGCTCCATGATCTGGAAAAAGAAAAGTTAAAATTTTTCAAGAAATATCAATATGAGCGAAACTTACTGTTTATGTAATAAAACAGTTTTTTAACATTTTTTTAAAAGTTGAAGGTTTAGGGGTCGGGAACATATTTTACTCGATATTTAATGAGGGCCCACGGTACCCTTGAATCACCGATGAGTGGTAATTAAACTTGAAGATGTCAATCTTTTATAATGAGAAAGATGTGGCTTCGGAAATAACCAAGAAAAGAATCACGTGTGCGGAAGCACTGAACAGTAAAATTTTATGCTGTCAACTGTCAAGTAATCCAGATCATGTGTTGTAACTTTGGCATCAAGAACATCATGAAAATACAATGACAGATTCAGATTCCTCGTGAAAAAATGTCTTGAGAATGTCCCAGTCATAAACGACTAGGTTTTATGGTTTTCGCTCAAAAAAATAAAAATGAAAGCTACACCCAGACAACACAAGTGAATCCATTGGACAACCAATGTATGTCCAACTATGGATACCCTGGACATCCATTGGATGGACGGCATTGTCCAGTATTTGTCCAATGGACATCCAATGGATAATACATGTCCAACAGTTTGGACATACATTGGAAGTCCATTGGCTTTCCATTAGACATCTGATGGATTTCCATTGGACATCCAATATTTGTCCTTTCCATTGGAAGTCTATTGGATACTCATCAGACATCCAATGGATTCCCAATGAAGATCCATTGTATGTCCATTACATTTGAAATACACATCAGAACTCTAATGGATGTCTACCAAGAATCCAACTCATGTCCATTCCAATGATATGTCTATTGGATAATCATCAGGAATACATTGGATTTCCATTGGATATCCAAATTTTGTCTAGCCAGAACGTAGAAATTAAAAAAAAGTTGTCGTCTGAGGGGATTGAACTCCCGACCCCGCTCTCGTGGATCACAACGCTAACCTCTGGACCACTGAGCTGTTATAAATATTATAGCAAGTATTTCGTATTCACGGTATTTCACATCGAGAGAAAATGCAATTTGCTGAAGTTTAGTGCCGCAATAAAGCTTTTACACGGCCCTTATCAAAAGTGTTACAGGGTGATTCATCTTTTTCGAAAGAAACCCGCCGTATAATATTTGTCCATATCGATCTTATTTGCACGGCCTAAATGGTTTAAAATTGAAATTGGATGAAAATCAACATTAAAATAAGTACCTACCTCTTTATAGGTACGTAACCTAAAAAAATGATGAGACGTATAAAATCGTGAAAAATAGTAGGTACCGAGTGCGAAGTTGTCTGTGATTAATGTTCATATATATATTATATATTATTGGTAAAAATATTTGAATTGAAATAGAAGAGTCATAAATGACACATACTTTGCGAAACGATTTCCATTGGATAAGTATGATGGATATCCATTGGCTGTAAAAATTTCGTTGTCCATTGTACAACTACAAAATGGATGTCCATTGTATGTACAAATCTCTATGTCCATTGTACATATACACAATGGATGTCCATTGGACATCCATGGACATCCGGCTACCTAATGGATTCAAAATGGACATCCAATGGATGTATGTGTGTTATCTGGGCAAATTCTCGTTTTCTTTCAATAATTCAAAAACTAGGAATGACACATCACATTTTCTTGCAGATAAATGTTCAGCATGAAAATTCGCAACTTTGCCAAAATTGAACCGATCTCGTTTTTCTTATAATAACTGTATGACCGTAGGAGAAAAAGTATGGACAAAACTTGTGGGAAAGTGCATGTGCAATGCTAGTCATGTTTTCACACTAGTTATGTAATATTTCATTATTTTCAGACAACGTGACAATTGCCGACTTCCAGCTGATAACAGCAACGATGTGCCTTGAAGCTATCAACTTCGATATCAAATCGTGGCCACTCGTGGACAAGTGGTATAGAACATACAAATCAGAAAATCCAAAATTATGGAAAATTGTTGAAGGGGGCATGAAAGAAATCGCAGAATTTGAGAAAAATCCGCCAGATTTGAGTCACATGGACCATCCCATCCATCCAGTGAGAAGGAAATAGATATCCAGTTGCTACTTTCTTGTACAAGAATATTATTCAATAAACTTATTAAAAACGTTTTTCATCATATGAAGTACATACACGTTGCCACACAGTAACAGTCATAATTTAGGTACGAAAGTAGCAATAAAAACAAGTAGTATGCGAAGGACCACACGTCGAGGGAGATAACGGTCGCCTTGGATCTTTCCAAGTAAAATTTTCTCAACAATCTCAACAATCTCTCTCTCTCTCTCTCTCTCTCTCTCTCTCTCTCTCTCTCTCTCTCTCTCTCTCTCTCTCTCTCTCTCTCTCTCGCGGCGCAGGAAGGTCAATGCTGTGAATGAAGACCTTGCTGAAATCACAGCTTGGTGAACCAACAACCTAGTTGAATTCAACGCCAAACTGTATTTCCTCTAGAAAGGCGGAACCCAGTATGCCCGATATTGTAATGTCTGGCACCACCATCCCCACCGAGACCACCATATATGCTCGGTATTTCCATCAGCATCACTCTTTCATGGAATAATTATGTCAGATCCATCGCAGAAGCTTCTCCACACAAACTCATATTCTTGTTTCGTGCGAAAAGCTACTTCACACCTCAACAGCTTCTCATGATCTACAAAGAGCAGATATGGCCTGTTCTAGAATACTGTTCTCACATATAAGGTTCAACACCAAAACTTACGCTGATGCTCTTGGATTCCATCCAGAAAAGAGCTATTCGCCTGGTGGGTGACGCGAAACTCACTCACTCTTTGACATCATTGGAACACCGTAGAAAGGTCGGCAACCTTTTACTTTTTTATCGATACTTCCACGGGAAATGTTCTTCGCAAAACTCTGCTAACATCCCTTCACTAGCAATACCAGTCAGACGAACTAGACAAGCCCAGTCAGCACATCCTTCCGTTGTCGACCTCGAAAGTTGTTGAACAGCACTTTATCAAAACTCCTTCATCCATAGAACGGCTAGGCTCTGGAATTCATTGCCTGAGGAAGTATTCCCAACAACCTATAGTCTCCAGGAGTTCAAAAAAAATCCAATACCTATCTCCTGTCCCTATCCTCCCTAGGAACGTGCGATGTTCTTTGAACATTATTGGGATTTCCTGTCGTGTGCTTCATGAAACAAAAAAGATTACAGCACAGCCAATTGATTTTCTTTATTTCGAACCGGTCTATCTCTTACTGGTTTTGTATATTTTACATTTCCGGTTCGCACAAACCCATCCAGTTCTACAGGATTCTGTTGAATGGATGACGACGTTCCTGATCACATTGTTCATAAACGACTTAACAAAGAAGAGTTTTTTCTACATTCTTCTAATATTAAAATCATATTTACGAGCACTTCTTGATTGTAGTCCATGACAAATAACAATATTACGTTGAAATCATCTGAGAAAATCAATAATAATGAGGTAAAAATGTGAAGAATTTGAATTACTCAAGTGAAAATAGAATACTTACATTTCTTTGGAGTTGAATGTCAATAATTCATTTATCTAAGCCACCTCAGTTTTTTATTTATTCAGATGACTCTCAGAATAATTGATGAAACGAATATTCCTGGCAAATAACTGTTGGAACAATGAGAATTCTGATGGATACAACGAGAAGAAAAATTTGTTTCTTATTCACGCATCAAATGTCAAGGAAATATACAGGGGCTCCATTTTGGAATAAAAAAAATATAGTGTTTTTAAATTTGAAAAGTTTTCCACTGTATTTTGCACACCCTGTGATGATTCGTGTCAATCAAACTCGATTAGCGATTTGATCAGGCCATATTTGATACGTGTCTCCTATGATCCTATTGAGCAGGCACTCTCTTTTCTGTTACTAATGGTTTTTACCAGTGGTGCAGTAGTACTTCTTTACGTGAATATCACTGAACCGATTTTGATTCGATTCTAAGAGTATGACGGATAGAACAATTTTACAATTTTACAAAATTTTCAAGAACTATGTTGGTTACCACTACAAGCACTCAAATGTGCAACAAAAGAAATGGCATGTTTTTTCAGATAATATTCCATTATTACGTCACACTTTTCTGAAACCCTGTATGATCGAAATCATTCTCCTGGTATATGTGCTCTATGGTACATTTGGAGTCTGCAAAATATAGAAATCCTGACTGAACTGACAACTGAGGTATAGAAGACGGGAAGTGAGATGCAGGACCCTGTATATCTTGGGAGAAAAGGATTATTTCCTCTCATGTGTGTTCAATGCTCCTCTTTGATGCATGAATAGCTATTTATTTCTATCTGTGTTTCATTTTTTTATTTTTTCGATGGATTCTCTCCTACTATATATTTTTATAACTATTCACCATTTTCAATGGTTTCAACACTAGTCTATTATTGTGTTGATATTTTTGGGAAACTTTCAATTTGTTTTCTTATTCAGTTATATTTTATCCATATCTGAGTACTATTATACTGAATGATGTTCCAGGAATTTTGTAAAAACATTTTTTTTTCAATTTTGAGAACCTACTGGTGCAATTTCATCATGAGATTACAGGAAGGTATTTACTAGAAAATCAGAGAGGGCTGCCTCTGCTAAATGACGCCCATGTTCTGAATAACATAACATGATACGCCAGATTGGCAATGGGCTTGTATCACATGAAAAATGTCTGTCATGATTCGATTGAAATCAACCAAACTAGCTCACCACCGCAAACTGTTTCTTGCTGTGAGCTCCCTTCGTTCTATAAAAAATTATTGAAATCCCCGATTTCTCGGACCTCTGAAAACGAAGCAATGATGTGACGTCAAAACCCTCATACTGAAACAAAACTATTCCAGACGAAGTTGAATGATACATGATTTCTGACAGAGTGAATTAGCGCGAGATCACAGTTGAAAGAATTAATATATCAGTTGCCTCAGTCTCAGTCGGGCGTTTGGTATTTTATTTCAACTATGGCAAGATGAGGTTTCTACATCATAAGAGGGTTCGTTTTCAGAAGGTACTATTATTATTCATGTCCAAAAATAAAACATTCCAGCTAATTTTACGATCGATTTTTCATTTATGTATGAAAGGATCATTATAAACATGGTTTGAGTTAAATGTTCTGCTAAAGTGTACACGCCCATTGAAACGTTGACATTCAGACTTCAAGTTTCTAGAGTCGTTGATCTTGTAGCCGTGGTAACTCAAACAAACGGGATTTGGAAAGTGGAATATGCAACATAGGATGAAAAAATGCATAAAAATAATATAACGAAAATAATCACCCATTATATATTGAGTCAACTATCGTTAATTCTCTTTTTCACAACGTTCCAAAGGGAACGGGACTTTCTCTTCCATATAACATAATGCTTAGATAAGATATTATCAGGTAATGATTCCACTATGATAGTCCTTATGCAATTTTCTTCAGATTCAAAATGATGTCGACTTCGGGACTGACTAGGAAAGCTTTCTCGAAAAGTCCTAACGGAATCTTCGTCTTCTGGCAAGGTTCCAATTCGAAGTTAGATATGATATGCATAATTATAATTTTACATTTCAGTAAACTGAATCTTTGGCCGATGCAGGTACGAGGGCCAAAACCAAAAGGGATGTAAGAATAGGGATATATTTCTGCCTTTCTCTCTTCATTGAACCTCTCTGGATCGAATTTCTCCGGATTCGGGAAATATTTGGCATCGTGGTGTAGGGACCAAACAGACAACCACATGTAGGTTCCTTTTTCGATTATTACTGGTTGCTCGCCTGGGTTGACTGGCTCTATTTTGTACGATTTCGTGCATATTCTGTCCATTCCACCCATTATGGGCCATTTCCTCAACGATTCTGAAAAACAAATACGGTTTTGATAGATGAAATAAGCGGCTTGAATATGGTGGAAAGTGGTTATGAAGAATATGAGATGCGAGGTACGACATCGAAATGAAAAAGTAAATATCAACATTATAAACATTAACAGGAATAAAGGCCCTATGTCAACATAAGATATAGTACAAGTTGAGGTATTTTCATTCAAACGTTTCATACACAGTCTTAGAAACAATTATTATACAGTGTGTCCATTTAGTGCGTAATTCTTCGATATCTCGAAAGCCATAACCAAGAGAGAAAAACTTTGGAAAAAAGCTTCTTCAGTTACTAAAGTTGCTCATTTCAAAAATATTTTCAACATTACTGGGTGTTTCATAAAAGCAAGGCAACTCGAAGACGAGTTTTTCAAATGAAAAACCTAGTATTGTTCATTCGGAATTAATTCTGCCGAGATTCAACTTCACATCGCTGTGAAAAGAATTGGAATCGGTTGCGGCGTTGCCAAGTTATAATTGATAAATCTATTTTCACCATTTTTGAAGTCATGTTGAATTATGCTTGAAATATTCATTTATTCAAATTTTGAAGATATTTTTGGCATACGGTAGAAGCAAGGTCCCACGTATACCAATCCAGTAATTTTGCGACATGTCCTCCAACAGAGTGCTCACTTTTCACATCCATCAAAATTTTTCAAATGGAACACCCTGTATTTTTATTCAAAAATTCATTCTGGCATCTTTCGCTCCTTTATCGCTGGAAAAAAAATCGAAATCAGTTGCGGTGTTGTCAAGTTATCGATAATTTTCTTATTCTTACTACTATTTCGGGGTAATTTGTACGTCATAGTTCTTTGATTCATTTGTATTGTGGAAATATTGCGTTGCTACGATATAATCAAATTTGTTCATTGACCATTCATATATTTTTCCACTATAGGAATATTTACAGGCTCTCCAAGTTTGAGTTTTTTTTCGAAATACACCTTTTGTGTAATGACCTGTCAAACATCGCCACAATCAAATTTATCTTGGATTGATTCGAAATTTTGCTGAATTCCCTCCCAATAAAATAGTAGAAACATATTGTTTGTATCATTACCTTCTAGTTGAATGCAGATTTGGATTGTGGGAATAACGACAATAAAAATGGCCCAAATTTCAAAAAATTGTCCTAATTTTTGAAATGCGCATCTTCATTGTTCATATTGT